TAGGCTTGTCAGCACACGTGCAGGACGTGCTGCGTTCTCCATCTCACCAGAGCAAAGGAGATGATGGAATCAAAGAATCATTTAAGTTGGAAAAAGACCTTTAAGATCAGAGTCCAACCATGAAAGAATAAGAACACTTGCAACGTGCGAGAGCTGCTCAGATCAGGTTGATTAGTCTTCAGAAAGATCAGTCAAATAATAATAAAGCATGTTTCCCCCCAAAAGGGGTTTGTTCTAATAGCTAATTTCTCATTCTGTTCTGCAGCTCCCACATGATCACATCATCTTGGTTTGCTGCAGAAACTCAGACCCAGGATCTCCTCCTTCAACCCCAGACTTGTGCCTCACCAGGAGCGAGGGTGAGCTGAGGTTCCTTCCACCACGGATACAAACAGCAGCGCCCAAACCTCCCTTCTCCAGGTAACTAGAAATATTTTGGTCCTTCCTCCACGTTCCCCTCACACAAAGGTCAGGTGGCAGCAGCCTTTGCTGTCAGCTGCTCCAAATTTCACAGCGAGTTTGCTTCTGCCCTTGGCTGCCCGCTCAGATTTGTGCTGATGCAACCGCAAGCAGCTCGTTTGATCACTGACAGAAATAAGAGACTCAATTTCTATTAAAAAAAAAAATTAGCTTTTATTTAGCTATTGTTCCCTTCCAAAATGTGCACCCCAGATATGTATTGGAAGAGGAAAAAAAGGGGGAAAAAAAAAAAAGCTGGAAGGCAGGTCCTGTTTGTTATTGGGAGATTTTAGGAAGATGCAGTCAGCTCAGTCCTTTCATCTGTTACCAACTGCACAGCAGTGGAAACTAGACAGCAGAAAAATCTCTGTTGATTCAGTTCTTTTCAGGAGCTGGGCTTGTGTGTGTGTGAAAACCCATCATGCCATAAAAGCATAAAGGTAAGGTAGCTCTGCATTAATTTTTTGGTGAAAGTAACATCCTGTTGCTCACAAGTGCTATTTTTAAATTGCACCTAAGCAAAACTATTGGGTTTTAGTTGAATGTACTTAAAACTTTCCTCAAGTTTCCTTCACCAGACTTTGGTTATATTCAAATATTAGGTTTTACTCTTGAAAAAGATCAGTCAAATAACAAAGCTCTTTATTTTTTTGTTTTTTTTCTTCACAAAATGGAGATTATTCTCATAGATACTTTCTCAGAGAAGAGAAAGGAAACGGATCAAAACTAAGAATTAAAGTATAAAAGAACAAACCTACAGGAATATTTGGAATACAAACAGCTTGTTCCAACCCATCTTCCTTGAAGGAGGTATTTGAAAAACCACAGGCCTGAGGTTGGCCTTCCTAGGGAGGAACATCCTGGCCTCACCGCCTGCCTGGTGCCCATCACACCCGGAGGCAGTGCGTGTCTCTGGAATGACCATCGAAGGCTGGAGAGTGACCTCTGATGTAATTAGTCCATTCTAATTGGAAAAACCTACCCACCAACTCTATCCTACCACATTTAAACTGCTGGAAGTCACCGAGCTGTCTGCAGGAACGGCAGCTCTGCAAAGGAGGTGAGACCATCCCATCGACTGGTGCCCACTGCAACAAATGTACCACTTGATGCCTTTTATCATCCTGATACGTGTTTTGGCCATTAATTTTGCTTCAGATTTTTAATTAAAATTCCTCTTGGTCTTCCCAGGGTTTTAAAGACATAAAACAAGCACTTTTGGTATTTAGTTTAAGTTGTAAGTGCTGTGGAGTTTTTTGATTTAGGTTGATTTGGGGGAACTCAGCTGGTCCCTGTACAGGTGTAGGGTATTGCTGCATACGGTTGAAAGACACAGTGTCATTGTCACAGTTAGAGCAGGAGGAGAAGGCACAGCCAGAATACAAGAAAATGAAGGAAAAAACCAAGCCACTCGGATAAAAAGCTTAAATGTTCGGCTTCCAAGCCTCCTGACATCATCATCATGTAGATTCTAAACCCCAAAGGGTTAATGATCTATTTGATTCAGCCCCTGACTCGGTTTAATGAGCTTATTCCACAACCTCTCAGGTTCTCCTGCCAACCTCTGCACTGAGCATCCCACATTTCTTTTTTTTCCTCTATTTCAGAGCCAACCCAGCACAAAAAGCCCAGTCCCATTTCTGTCTGTTCAGAAGAGAGCACCAAGCCCTGCTGCACAGGGAGGAGTGGTCCTTCCAGGAGAAAAGCTGTAGCAGCAGTCCTGAATGTACAAGTTAAAGCCAAAAAGGGGATGGGGCACGGAGGAACAGTGCAAAGCTCTACTAGAAGCAAAAGGGGACACAGCAAGGTTCATTTACAATGTTTATAACCCTCTGAACAAACCCCAGCCCCCGCACATGTCTCGTCAGCAAGCTCAGTTGTCTACCTCTTCCTCATCATTTTGCTCTTCTTCCTCCATCCTTTCGTCATCATCATCATTCTCCTCCTCTCGGCTCTTATCTTGTTCCTCTGAGTCTGCCTTCTTGTCTTTATCTTTCCTTGCTTCTTTCTTCCCTTTCTGCTCACGCCTGTAAACTAAAAAAGAGAAAGAACACTGGAAAATTGCAAGTCAGTGTCTCCACGGCATGAACAGTGCGGTAGCTGAAGTCCATCGTCCACTTGCTCTCCAGGCTTACAAGGGGAGCAGTGAACTCAGAGCAGCAACTCACCCTATCACTTGAGCTGTGCTGACCAGCTCCATAGGAACTCAGGTTAAATTTCAGCAGGTCAGCAGGAAAATGCTGAAAAGGAGGCAGGAGTTCACAATTTTCAGGCAGCACCTAAGACCTTCCTTAGATAAACATAACAGGGGAGTGATAGCAGATGAGACTTTCTCAATCCTCATCAGTTGAGAAATAAATGTTATCCCAGTCCTGTTAAGGTGCATGTTATTTATTCCCCTGGCAAACAGCAGTGTAACACGCTGGGCAAAGAGAAGAGAAACAAGACAGGCAAATAAGTGTTGCTTGTCCTGTCTTTGAGGAAAACAGGACTTGGTGCTGCTTGGACTCCCTCGGCGTGAACGGAGGACGGTACCTTCCAGTGATTCTTTCAAAGGGCCTACGAATCGCTGAAACTCCATTTCCTCCATGGCAGAGAGAACGTCGCTGGCGTTCAGCGTTTTCCTTTTCCCCTTCATGGCAAAGTTATTGGCACTAGTTAAAAAACGTGAAAGAAAAACAAGAGTTAATTGGTACCGTCATTTAATTTAGACTTGTTCATTAAAGTCATATGCAACTTCCAAAAAAAAAAAGCCATCTCCTGAACATACAGGGGGTGTTTAATTACTTGCTAACAGGAGTTTAAGATACCTTCTTGTTTACATTGCTTGTTTGTGCTTTCATCTGGTCGCTTTGCTTTCCTACAACATTAATTTTCTGCTTTCCTAGACTTTTTCTACAACTGGGTGGAAGGAGAAAGTCTGAACATTGGCTGCAAGGTGACAATTCCACAAAGCTGCACTTTGTGAGCACTGAACACCAGAGAAGTGTTTGCCTGCACAGCGTATTCTGAGCCACCCCAAAGACCTTACTGTGTCCTCAGCTCCAAGGCTGACTGGTTTGGCTCACACTTGCCCTAACACACCACGTTGTGAGTAGCTTGGAGAGTGAGCAAAGGGCTCTTCCCTTTGCCAGGAAAAGCTGTGCAGCCGTATTCCAAGGCTACAGGCAGTTTGGGATCCCTCTTGTCCTCGATGGGGTTGGGACATCTCTGTGTGCAGAGCCACGCTGCCCTCCCCATGGGTTGTTAAAGGCAGTTCAAACCCAACTGCTGCTGTCTGAGCTACACTAAAGATTGTGTTATTTATATAAACAGACAAAACCAAAACAAACACTGGGAAAAATACTCCAGGACAGCCAGGAGAGTGAATGATAAATCAACTGCACTGGTCATCCGATGCAATCAATTCTTACCATGATGTTGCATAAAGCACAAACACACTTGCCGCTCGAGAGATCGCGCTCCGAGCTTCTTTGGAAATATTGACTCCATCAGGCAGCTGAAAAAGAAATTCAACTTTTTGAATAACTACAAATAACTTAAAACTTTCATAATTCACATGTCAGTGTGAATTATGCCCATGGGCCTCATGAAGGCGTTCAGAGGGCTCAGCACAAGGAGAAGCTAATCGTGTCTCTCAGGTGCTTTGGTGCCGGCTGAAAGCCAACCGTGACCGTGTTCCCTCCACCGCAGCGAGCCCAGCGGGAGCAGAGGGACTTCTGGTCGGTGTGGCCACCATCTCTGGGGCCATCCATCACCCATCCATCTGCTCATTATCAATCTCTGATCAATATCCGATCGCCCTGCCAGACCCACCGGCGTGTCAGGGCTCAAACCCAAACACATCGTTCCGCCTCTGCGGGAGCCCCCCGGCCTCTGAACATCACCCAGGACATCATTACCGGGGGGTTTCGCCATCGGGACCCGGGACATTACCGGGGGGGCCGCACCGACAGCGCCCTGGGGGAACCGGCACAGGGTCCCCCGCGGCCCGGGCCCGTTTCG